ATGTTTGTTTACTGTGATTACTATGTACATTGGATTTGATACACAACGTGGTAGTCCACCCCGGAAATGTTTCCGCCTTTGATTTTTGGGGTGTGACAATACTAGTGATTTATATTAATATATTATAAGTTCTAATATATTAATATGAAATCGTATTATTTAATTAGTATTGATAGAGAATTAATTTAGAATTAATTTAGTGATAAAAAGGAACTAATTAAATATGGACTCTTATATATATATATATATATATATATATATATATATATATATATGTATTTGTATATATATATATGTGTATATATATATATATATATATATATATATATATATATATATATGTGGTGGGCCAAGTTCATTTAGGTTGGGCTAAGCTTGCATGGATAGTCCATGGAGCTTTTAACCCATGGATCCTATGGAAATGAAAGGGCATGGGTATTAGGGTTTACAAGAATGTAACCCTAATCCTCTACACTATATAAAGAGGTCTATGGTTCATGAAATTGAGTTAAGGACTAGTGTATAGTACATATTGAGGGAAAAACCAATTTCATAAGTGTGAACCTAATTATCCTTATTCTCAAGTTATTCCAAGTTGTTTTTGGTGTTGTGTGATTGCATTTGAGGTGCAACACTTGCGGCACTAAGCTTTTAAAAGTTCAAGACTTCAAGCTCCATCAAAAGGTATGTCATCTAATTAGGCTTTGTAGTCACTACAAGAAAACAGACCTTTAATGATGCGCAAACAATGACACTCGCTGATAGAGGACGCGCACTTGTAAGTGCCCTAAAAAATAATGTCAGTTTTGCAAAATTTGAAGGATAGAGGGCAGCTATTTGTGCGCGCCCTAAAATTAGTGCCAGAAAAGAAAAATAAATAAATACGGAGGGCGCCTTTCATAAAATGTGCGTCATGTAAATGTGTCGCTTTATAATTTTTAAGTGAAACACGTGATTTAGGTGGGAAATGAAATCGACGAAAATTACCCCTGCCAATTCAATCCCAAAAATTAATCCCCTATCTCTTCTACTTAGCAAGAAAAAGTCCTAGGTCCTTCATCTTCATCTTCAGTGGAAACAAACTCTGCTCCTCCACCCTCCTCTACGATCATTTCCTCAACACCTTCTCCTGCGACCGATCTCTCTTCTCCGCCGCCATCGCTGACCTACGAGCTGCCCGTCAACGAGACTCTGCCTGCATCTCCTTCGCTACAACAGGTAATAGATCATCATTAAGCTTCAAATGATTTCCTGACGGTCAAATCCAAGAATCAGTTTGTTAAAATCATGGAATCAGAGCCTGGTAGAGGAAAAGACTCAAATGGTTTTTTCTTTCCAGTGACATCCTCCAGAAACGCAAAGTGGTGCTACTCAGCCTTTCACAATGTCACCGCCATGGTTGGTGCCGGTGTCCTTAGTCTTCATTACGCCGTATCTCAACTTGTATGGTATCACTTTTCCTTCAATCCAAGTCTTCTCTGTAAGATTCTTTTTTGGTTTAAACAATGCACACAACATGTTCGATGAAAATCCCCACACAAAATCCACTTTCAAAATATACAATCTGTTTGATTCAGGGGCTTTGGAAGCACAGTACTAGTCCTATCCTAGGTTATTACACTCTACACACTATGGAGAATGGTGGAAATGCATGAAATGGTTCCAGGAAATAGATTTGATAGATATCATGAGCTAGGGCAACATGTTTTTGGTGAAAAACTCGGGCTTTATGTTGTAGTCATTCTACACAAGGACCACTGTCCAATCCTCTTTCAACTTGTGTCTTTCCTTCTTATGATATATTATGGATTGTGAGGACGTATATAGTCACTTAGGAGCCATTGGTGTTACCAGAAAGCAGGTTCCCCTATTCTGCTGCTTACACCTATATAGAAACTATTTTTAATATGCTTTTATATACTCACACATTACTAGAAGCTATTTTATTAACTATTTTTTGTTATATGAAGATTTGATTCAATTTGTTTAAGAAACTGTGAGGCCTGGACATGCTTCATCTACAAAGAAGCTAATTTATCTGGTCGGAGATTCCTTTGGTGGATCTTTAGGTCTTGCAGTTTTTTATTTTTTATTATTATTGTAAGAAGACTGAAGCACAAGGGGGGTGCAATCATTAAGGTTCTTAGTAGAGAGAAGCATAATGAAGTGCTTGTTGCACTCTATTCGTACATCTCTTCACAGGGATCATCTTTAGTTTCTGCAGATCTTTCTAGTTCTGATGTTACAGATTCTGTTTTGTTACATATTAAAGAATGCAAGAATGTTGAGGCTTTAAACCTTAATTTTTGTGAACATATCTCTGATGTTGGGCTCGGATGCATTATTGGTAATCTGTTGTACTGATTCTTTATTGAATTTGAAGGAAACAATCTTATTATTATTGTTTTTTTTTTCAGGTCTTTCAAACTTGACAAGTTTGAGTTTGAAGAGGAACACAAACATCACTGCAAAAGGATTGAGTGTACTTTCAGGGTTGGTCAATTTGTCAAAGTTGGACCTCGAAAGATGTTCTGCAAAAGGACTGGGTGCATGTGGGCATCTGGGGCATGTGGGGCTTGTGGAACAAGGGTTCTACTATATGTACGAGTTAATGAAACCGAACAGTGTCAAACCTGGTTTAGACCATTATATGTGTATCATTAACATGCTAATCAAGGCTGGACAACTAAATGAAGCTTTAAGTTTCATCGTATCAACACCAAGCAAGTAGGATGTCTTTGCTTGGACTGCCTTGCTCCGTGCTTGTCGTTTGAGTAGGGTAATCCATCTCAAACAAATGGTAATTGTTCGTTAATGGTAATGTTGTTGTGTGTTTGATTTTCGTTTAATTAAGCTTTTTCATTGCAAACAGGTGTTATGTGATGTGGATAGTGCTAAAGAATTCATCTTGTGTGACTATAATAGAGATGCTGACTCATACACGTAACAATGAATATCATCATATCTCGTCACTTGCCTTGTCAATCACCTTATTTGATACAATCATGAATCATTTTAAAAGTTATTGCAAGAAAAGTGCAATCTTGCATTTTTTTACTAGATGATGTACCTTTCTTGAGCCTCCTCATAATCAATTATGAGTTGTTGGCCTAGCAGTTATCTAGATCACATCTTATCATGCAGCACAGTAGGCTAACATATATTGTTATGTATGTTTGCTACTTAATGGTCTTAATGGGGACAATATCATCTAGTAATCTATATAAGAGTGTTTCTTTTGACTTGATGTTGAAAGGAGTCAAGGACTTATTGGGTGCTAACTTTTTGATAAATTTTTCCTCACTTGTCCATTTCCCCTGAATGTACAACCACTTTCTCAAATACTTGTTTTAATTCCATTTATCAAGACAAGACTTTATATAAGAATCATTTAACATTAAAACAAAAACAGGGCCTGTGTGTAGCGTTATTTGTCTTAAAGACATAGATAAAGACTAAAGAGCATATGTACCTTTTATTTCCAATTTAGTGATCTGGTCTGATAGGAATAGGATTAATCGTCTTTTTAAATTAGTAATAGTAATGTTGTTTTTTTGGTTCTTGATAATGTGAAATATTTGTTTGGTTGGTTGTACTTTCTAGATCACCATGGTGAAATAAATACCATCCTCCATTACAAGGGGGGCTGTATCCATCTCCTGAATTGAGGACACTTGAAATAGAAGCAAATGAAGTCTTTAGTGTATATCGTGACCATTGAGGTCCTTTACTTACACCTCATTTGTATGTTGGATTTATTCTATAATATGAAAGAAATATGAATGCTGTGTTTTAATTTAAAATTGGTATATGTATGTTGAATGTTGGGGGTTTAAAGGTATTATGAAGGTGGTACTTCATTAGTGTACTTATGGGAGGATGATGAAAAGGAAGGCTTCATGGCTTGCTTCTTGATAAAAAAAGGTCAGTTTTGACAGTGGACATCACATATAGTCCATTTTTGTATCCTGTTGAGTAATATTAATATTTAAAGTTTGAACTATGATATAAATGAAGATGGATCAAAGTATGCACACGGTGTGCGAGGTTACCTGAACGAGGGAGGTTGGGATGCTATACATCTTATGGAGGTAGACTATAGAGTTTTTTTTTATCTGTTAACTGTTAAGAAGATAATATGATGGTTAATTTTTTGTTGGAATTATTGGTACATTAGGTTGGGCAGAAGTGGAAGGAATGGTTGATTATTGTCTAACAAGTACTGTGATGCTGTCAATGACTACAGATCATGAGAATTCTGGGGCTTTTAGTTTGTCTCGATCAATTCGCAGACAGGTATATGATCTTCTTATTCTTATTATATCTAATTAACCCTACAGATGTTGAGGCTTTATCAAGTAAGTCTTCTTGAGGGTAGCTTAAAGCTAAAAAAAATTCCTTAAATATGTTAGTCTATAATATAATTTTAATTTAATGGGTGTGCTTTTAGGGCTAAAGGCGTTAAGAGTACTCAATTTGGGATTCAATGATATTGTAGATGTTGTTTTGGTACATAAAGGTGCTTCTTGTCCTTTCCTTATTTTTTTTATTTATGTTTTATACTAAACATGTATAAAGTCGAATATGTTTTTGATAATTAACGTAGCGGAATAGATACTCTTATTCATATTAAATACCTTTTTTGCTAATTATCTAACATGTATTTTTTAGTGCTTATACGTTTTTATATATAGATGTTGATGCATATATTTGTAAATGACAGGCCTTCATCGTTTGAAATGTTTGGAGTTGTCTGATACAAAAGTTAGAAGCAATGGTCATTGCCATCTCTCAGGTTATACATTTTTCTAACTAAAATTAAGAAATATAAATTTCATAATTTGATTTTTAAGGATTAATTAATTAATCTTTTATAAAATCTGTTGAAGGGTTGATGAATCTCCAAAGTTTAAATCTTTCATTCACTGTTATCATGGATGGAGGTTTATCAAATCTATCTGGATTATCAACTTTTAGATCACCTAACTTAGATGTTTGCCACATTACAGATGCTGGACTTTCAACTCTTTCATGTAAAAAAAATAAGGTTAGTTTCTTTCTTTGCTTAATAGTAAGTTCATTACTTGGTTTATATTACTTAACATCAATATGATTTAGAGGTTGCTTCATGAACTGATGAAGAAACTAGATTCTAAATTGAAGCATGAGGTCTGTCATTAGGCAGCATATTATGTGATTTCACTATTCATGGTATTGTCCCCTTAAAGATTTTTTTTTAAACATTATTCTTTTAGTATTGATATTTCTTTTTCTTTTTTTTTTAGGAACATAGGATGCGCCTTGGACAGAAAGCCATATTTCACAATGAAGGTACTTTTTTTCTAATCTCTTGAGTTTTATAATAATTTATAGCAATTTCTATTAACCATGCAAGTAGTAGACTGAACTGTTGCATTGATTAAGCTCACGAGGGTTGTTTTTTTTTTTTTTTATAATAAAAAATGGGAAGCAACTTTTGGTTAAGCTCATGAAAGTACATTTCTTTTTCTTGCATCTAACCCTATAAAGTGATATCCAATATCTTTTGCAGATGGATTATATAAACACTTCACACCCGGATTTTATTGGTGGGAGTAAAGCTGTTGAAACAACAATGCAGCTAGTGAAGTCTTCTAAAATTACAACCACAAATTCAAGGCAAAAGGTGAAACTCTAAACTCTAAATAGTATGATTGATAAAAAAAATATATTTTAATCAAGTTCTTGTTAAAAAATATATTTTATAAAATGAAAATGCACTTGAAAAATGAAAATAACATATAAATGAGCACAAATTTGTAAAATTAGGACTTAATGGTACTTTCTCTATTAATATCAACTATTTGTTTCTATATTAAGTACAAAACAAACAACTATATATATAGGTGAGGTGTTGCTATTAGTTCATACAAAATCACTTTTTTATTGGCAGATTGAGATGGTGTAGAAGATTATTGCACACATGGCAGATTGAGATGGCTAATCATGTATCATATTGTTCTTTTTTCCTTTTCCACATATGACCTACCACAAGGTTGATACTTGTTGTGTTGTTTCTTGTGCAATTTTATTTATAGGAGATATTTTACTTTGTTAAATGTTTAAAGTTACAGGACATGAGTATCGGCACATCATGGAACATTTTAGGGCAGTTGTTGGTTTTCCTCTTGGTGATCCATCAATGAAGTGGCCAACATCATGTAATAACATTTTAGGGGAAGATGTAGGTATATATTTTTTTAATGAATAATGTAATCATATGTATGAATATGAAATAAAGTTTGTTATTTGTATGACAATAAATTTTATGCAATGAATTGTATTTTTTGTATATGGTATTTTATTTTCTATTATGAGACATTAAATGAAAATTTAATTTGAAAATTAGTCAATCTGTAAATAATATTTTTTTTAACATTTAAAATTATGATACGCAAAAATGTTTGTCATCTTTATTTACGACATGGCCTTTCTTGACAGGGGCTTCCTTGATACGCATTGTTTGTCATAAACACGCGTGTCGTAAGGTTACGACATGCAAATGTGTGTCGTCTTCCTTTATGACAGTGCCTTCCTTGATACACATTGTGTGTCATCACCGCGCGTCGTAAATGCGCGTCATAAATGCGCATCGTAAATGTGTGTCGTCTCTCTTTATAACAGGGCATTCCTTGACGCGCATTTGCGCATCGTCTGAGCGTTTTACGACGTGCAATGAGAGTCGTAAAAGGCTGTTTTTCTAGTAGTGAGTACAGTTGCTTCATATTATGCTAGTTAGGATTAAAACCTTGGAATATTAAATATTTGCATGTATAATAGAGAAAACATAGATCCAAGGTTTATAGGGTTTCATGTACATCATATGAGTGTTAGGATGCTCAAAACCCATAATATACTACATTTACAAAGAAGGTTTTTCAACTCTATATACAAAAGCTTACGCACTCACTAACGTAATCGTTGACACTCTTTCAAAATTTACTTGTATTCTCAGGTAATTAATAAAAACAGGTGATTACCAGCATTTGAGAATGGAACGATTCGTTGTTAGAGAAAACATTTTATCATTTTATTGTAATCGATTTTGAAACATGTACTCTTATAAAACCATGTAACTTTCTCGATTATATTTATGATGGTTGTATTTACTTTGAGCACTATTATAGTCATTGTTGTGATACTATACATGAAGTCCTCCGCCCCCGGATGTTTCTGCCATCCTTGGTTTGGGGGTGTGATAATGAGATCCATGAACGCAACTGGAACATTGGTAAGGCCAAATGGCATCACCACGCAATCATAATGACCATATCAAGTCCGAAAAGCTGTCTTTTTCACATCCTCATCCCAAAATCGCATTTGATGATAACCTGATCGCAAATCAATTTTGGAGAACCAAGATGCACCCTAAAGCTAGTCGAAAAGATCATCAATCCTAGGAAGGGGATAACGATTCTTTACCGTCACCTTATTCAACTCCTGATGTCGATATACATATGATGATACCCGTTCTTCTTCCTCACGAACAAAATCGAGGTTCCCCAAGGCAAAATCCTCGGCCTAATGAATCCCTTGTCTAAAAGCTCCTGCAGCAATGTAGATAACTCCTACATCTCGAGAGGTGCCAGCTGATAAGGTGCTTTGGCTATCAGAGCCGCACCTGGAACCAAATCAATCCTGAACTCCACCTGCCTCTCCGAAGGTACCCCTAGAAAAGACTCCAGGAACACAGCCGGATAATCCTGAATGATCGCTACATCATCCATGGTTGCCTTACCCTTATCCTGGGTATCCATGACATTGTTGATGAAGCCTGAGCAACCCTGCTGAAGATAGAGTCTGGCCCTCACTGCAGAATACATAACCGGCCCATGCTGCAGTCTCTCACCCTGAATCACCAACTCTCCCTACTTGGGGTCCGATCCCACACTAACTGCTGCTCACAGTCGATTACTTCCTTACTAGGACTCAACCAATCCATGCCTACAATGAGCTTGTTCCCACGCATAGGAATGGGAACCAGATCAACCGGATACCGCTCATTGAACAAATGCAGAGTACAACCCTGATGAACCATCGGAACCGTAAGCATCCTATCATCAATAATCTCCACATCAAGAGGACAATCCAGCTCACCCAAAGCTCTAATAAATCTCTTTCTAAGCGCAAGCAACACAAAAGATTGGGTAGCCCCCGAATCAATTAATACTAAAACAGAGATACCATTCATAAGGAACGATCCTAAACTAAAACAAATAAACATAAGCAAGAATTCAATATAAATAAAGAGATAAGGAGAAGATACATACCCATCACAACATCAAGAGTTGCATGTGTCTCCTCTGCGGTTAGCTGGAAAGCCCTGATCTTCGCTGCAAGCGCATCTACCCGACCCTGATGGTTGTTCGCAATTCTCAAAGTCGTAGGAGCGGGTTCTTACACCAGTCCTGCTGCAGCCAAACTCGGAAATTGGGCCTTCTTGTAGACCCTCTGATTGCAATGAAAGCAAATAAGGTCTTATCCATGGGTGGTGGTAGCAGTACAATCCCTACTATAATGACCAATCCAACTACACTTGAAGCGGCGAGAGCCACCACCACTACCACCCCTGCACGACCCTTGTGTGTCCTACCGCGCTTGCCACAACGGCTATGGCCATGATGGCCCCTCGATCTGGAATCCGAAATGTTGGGCCTCCTGACTGAACCCCTGATGTCTGAACCTAATCTAGCTTCCTCTTCTTCTCCACCTCTAAGTCAATCTCCTTCTCAATGGATCGACCTATCATATCCTCTAGCATCTTGCAACTGGATCGGATCATAAACTGTTGGATGTCGCTCCCCAGCATTTCAAGATATCGGGTGTTCTTTATCTCATCGTCCACCATATACTGCGGAACCAGAAACGCCCTTTCCCTTAACATAGTGGTGATCTCAGCCACCATCTCAGTAGTCTGGCGAAGATCCTGGAACTCTCGTGCTAACTGTTGTACCTTAATAATCAGTGCAAACTCAGCTCGAAACCTAGTCAAAAAATCATCCTAGGTCATCCCATCAATGACGTCATCACCCACAACACTACTAACCTCCTCCCACCAGTCTTGAGCCCTGTCTGTCACAAGGCAAGAAGCTAGTCTTAACTTTTGCCCCACGAGGCAACGACTAGTGCAGAAAGCATTAGACACATCTACTAACAAACTTCTACTCGTAAAGGGGTCCTTCTCCACACGATAGTCAGGAGCTCCACAAGGCCAGAACTCCATGAATGTCAAAGATCGAGATCCCGTTATATCTATCATCTACAAGCAAAATGGGCTCAATCGCTCCTCCAAAACCTCCAAGATACCCTCCTTGACCGAGCCGAAGATCACAGGAGTCTGGTTGAGAATGCAATGAGTAATCACTGACGAGAGAAACTCCCTAGTCTGCTTATTGAGCCGCCCGACTCCGGATCCTGAGCCTAAACCCTCCCCGGCACTAGAACTGCCGACTGGTCTGCCTTGCGATACCACCATACTGAAAATAGACCACAAAACTATTAGAGTACGAATAAAAATACACCAGGGAATCAGAACCCTACAAGCTTCGTGATTTTATCATAACCCTCGTTGAATTGAGTACATGCCCATACTTAGGGGTGTTCACGGGGCGGTTCGGTTCAGATAATACGAAAATTATAAACCATTACCACAGGGCGGGTACCTTACATGCATTAACCGAAACCAAACCGAATAGCTAAGAAACCCGAACCGTATAAAGGCGCGTAACCATGGCTCGGATCATGGATACGCACTAAATATAAAAAATAAGAATGCTATAAACTCCATTTTAACCGTTCTTTCCGAAATCAAAATACATAAACATAAAATATGTGATAAAAGTCGATAAAAACTATATTTATTGTATTTAAAATTTAATGTTTTCATCAAATCAAGAACTGGTTACAATACTAATGCGGTCTTAAAAAATAGGATCACCTTAAAATTATTGGATGAGTATATTGGTAACTAGTCAGTTTCTGTCCGCACATTTTCTTAATAACTGATTGCATGATCTAGATATAAGTTTTGTCAAAGTATAAGATTTGACATTTGATTAAATTGTATGGTTATCGATATTCGCTGCTATTCATCATATATATATATATATATATATATATATATATATATATATATATATATATATATATATATATATATATATATATATATATATATAGAGAGAGAGAGAGAGAGAGAGAGGTTCAGGTTCATTTGAGACCATTTTAATTTTGTAAGACCGTGAGACCAAATTTAAAAATAATTTTATTATGCAAAATAAATAGAAAAATCCAAAAATTGTTTTTTTAAATATTATTTTCGGAACTTGAATTAACTAATAAATAAATAAATAAATAAATAAATAAATAAAAATTCCGTTTTTTTTTTGAAAAATAAGTGAAACATTTTAATTGGAATATTACACTAACATATTCTAAAAAATAATTTTAAAATGCAGAATAAATGGAAAAATCTAAAAATTCTTCTTTTAAATATTATTTTCGGAACTTGAATTAACTAAAAAAAATAAAAAAAATAAATAAAAATAAATTCCTTTTTTTTTGAAAAATACGTGTAATATTCTTATGGAATATTACACTGACATATTCTAAAAAATAATTTTAAAATGCAAATTAAAT